GACTGTGTAAACTCTGGCAATAAGAAAATACTGATTAGTGCAGACCTAGATGAGTAATTGATTTTAACAATTGATTTTTTATTTTTATCATTTTGCATTAGCACCATACTGACAAAAACAAAAAAGTGAAATACACTGACACATTAGCAGCTGTTCACGTGGCTGATGAACGGCCAGGGCACAGAGATCTGAGAAATAGGGTTTGCAACACCGTCTTTTTCTTTTCAGGCCCTCTCTAAAACACTTTTTCTTACTCAAAAATCCAGTGGTATGCTTTGTCTTTTCTCCCAGGACAGAGATTTAGCCATCATGCTAAAGCAACAAGAAGTTTTAAATTTTTTAATTAGAAATTAAAATAACAACAGAAGAGATGGCCAGGATTGTGATTTGGAGAATACGGCTGTGACTTGGGCAGAAGATGCAACTGCAGCGGGCTTTACCAGTGCACTGCAGAAGACATGCTTCTCCACAGGTCACCCACTCAGGAGACGCCAGAGCTGCTCTAGTCTTTTTACTCGGATTTTCTTTATATAGTTGGCAAAAGCTATCTGGTGATTTTTAACTTAAATTATTAACTGGTTTGGGGACAAGTTAAACTGCACTTGCCTGTAAGTAAGTTTCATCATTAAAAAATAACTAGCTGAGCCCTGCGTTAAAGCTGCTGCTATTTTATCTGAGAAGTCAAGGGAGTCCCTGCCTGTTGAGAGGCCACGTGAGCTGAGCACCGTCACTGTGCTGCAGTGGGAGTCTCCTCCACTTTGGAGGAGACCCACAGGTGCTGTCTGGCCCATGCAACCTACCCCACAGCTGAGCACTTCCCCACAGCAGGGACACAGGTGACCCATTCAAGGTGAGACTCACCGTGTCCGTGGAGGAAGAGATGCCACCCCGTACGCATCCTGCATTTGAAGTCAGCAGGATCCGAGATCTGGGCTCCGTGGCTCACGAGGTTGTGCTTCTCTGGGGTGCCCCAGGGTGAATCTGCTGTAGCCCAATGCAGTTAATGGCAAGACCGAAGGAGGGCAGTTTTACAGCACTCCCTGCATAAATATCCACTTTTAGACACCCTAGAAAAAAGCAATGGCTAGTATTTCAGCTATGACTTAATGACCGTATTTCACCAGTTGTGCTGTTAAGGGTAGAGCTCTCACAGAAGGCAAAGACATCCTTAGCCATAGGGAGGACTGAGGCAGCCAGCCCCCTGTTCTTGTCCATGGTAAATTTGTGAGTACCACAAATTTGCAGCTGCACAGTTAGCTCCCTTTTCAACAGTTTACAACACTGTTGCTTTTTGTCAACTTGTTTCACCATAGCATTGAATTCAGCATTGTAACTGAAGACACCTCTGCCTATATAACTGTAGGTCCATTAACTTAGGGCAATTACTCTGCAGAGAGGTGACAATTCCTCTATGGAAGTTATTGAATTCTGGTACTGCAAACACTGCAAACAATGCATCAATAATGAAAGGCCAGTAAGAGAGCACAACGTACCTGCATCGTTCAGAAATATAATTTTTTTTTATGGACTATATCATCTGACAGATAATTTCAGCCTGGAAATTAGACATCAATTTTTAATAATATTTAAATTTACTTTTCAAGGAAAATTAAAAACATGAGCTACTAATTACTGGCTTGACTGAACAGAAGGGAGATGGGGAAGAGGGGGTGAAAGGGAATGAAAACGAGGGTCACCGAGATATCTCATTGGAGTTTGCTGACCTTTAGAAAAACTCCCAACTGATTAGTAACCTTGAACATTGATAAATTAGATAATATTCACTCAACCCATTCTCATTTTTTATTTAGCAAAGAATTCCAGCTTTGTTCAGCAGGATGACTTCTGCTCTTTACATACATGTAACACTGACTGTCTCTCCAAGGATTTGATTCAAGCTTTAGCTATTATGTTATGTCTCAATTCTTGGCTTTTTAGCCTGTTTCTTAGTGTATTGCACTGTGCTTCACAAACCTACAATAGCAGAAAGATCCTACAACACTCAGGTCAGGGTAGGCAACAAAAGGAAAGAGATGCTTGTTTTCCATCTATACACTGTTTTAGTTTTGATTAAAAGCTGGGATTAAACACCAGCATTACTTTGCCTTCGAGAAAGGATTGAGAAAAAATTCGGAGATAATTTTCCTTCCAGTTCTCATGTCTGTTATAGGTCTAAACCTGATGTCGGTGGATGCACTGAACCAGATTAAGGGCAAGGACACTTGCCTCACCCATAACTTATCTATCCGTGCACCCAAAATGGGGATGCTTGCAACTGTTCCGTGGATATCTGCCCTTCTCTCTCCCAGCTCCACTGCTTTCCTTCAGAGCTTTCGACAGCCTCTGCCAGAGCCTGAGGAATTTGCCCTCAAAAAATGTTCATTTTTTTGTATCTTTCAAAAAAGAAGCCTGGTCTTCATGCATTTCCTATGTCTATCTTATACCTATTCTTGAATGAAATAGAAGTGCAATTCTTAAACGGTAACAACTTCTGCTAAACTGTCTCTCAGAAATAGGCATGCAGCTGCCACTGAAATCCACTGGAGATGTGCCTTTGCATCCAAGGGGAAAACATGACCTCTCGACAATTACTAGCAGACAAGAAAACACTGTACAGAAAGCAGCTTCTTTTTCAAGGAGCTAACAATCATCTTGAAAAACTTTGACTGCAGCTTGCCAGGAAGCGGACAATACAGTAAAATGCTTGAGTACCTGTTATTTATGGACTAGGTGAGGAAAAAGGTTTACTTGGTCTGAAAATCTTAGTTTTAGTGGTCCAATGTAGACCATCAATTCCGAGGGGGTTGCATTTTTTTCAGATTTTTAGTTTCTTGGTTCTGTTTGTATTATTTGCATTCGGTGACCTGGCATCTCTTGTAGTCCCTGCTCCATAAACATCCAGTACTCAGCAGACGCTAGGGCTCAAGGGAATACCTACCAGATACACGCAGTTGCATGGCATTCCTTTGATCTCCAGCTGTACATGAAACACTGTGAAGTAGCATCTGTTTGCCGGAAAATAATTATGTTTTGTAAAAAACACATACATGGACTTCCCTTGTAACTCAATAATACACAGGGGTAATATTAATGGAAGTTTTGCCTGTCCAGGTTGCACGACAATCTACTGAACTGATAAGAGAGATGCTGAAGAGAAGCAAGGCACTTCGAAAAGAACATGACTACTGGAGCAGTATTTAAAGGATGCTGTCATCTTGGGCAGTTTCCTCCTCTCCTGTTTTGCCTCCACAGTTCGTGATGCATTCCTTAAAAATTCAGCCATTTCAGCCTGTAATTTGTAAGCACTGCTTTATTCTTTATTTCTCTTCCAGAATAACATAGCTTTGGTCACGTTTTATTTATTGTCCCAACAGTACAGTAGTGAAAATAGGGTTTGCATATTGAAGTGATCCCCATGCATTAAGATACTTTACACAAACAATCAAACCAGCCGCGGAGCTTACGGAAAGACAAACCAACCCAAGGCAGCTGGAGAGCACAAGAATCTGGAGAAGATCCCCTGTAAATCTGAACAGATGCAAGTCACACACAAATGGTCTGTACCCACTCTGGGTGACAGCATCCCTCTGGCATGTAGGGTCTGATCGTCAGGCACATGAACTTTCTGTTCAATCCACTGTAGTGGCCCAGATGTATGAAGTTACTTATGTATTCCCAGAAGAATAACAAAGATAAGAAATGATAGGCATAAGGTTGTGCTGGGCAGAAGCTCCCATACATACAGGAGCCAGACCAGCGATACTCCACCTGTATTGGCCAGCTGCCTAGGCATGCTGGCCAAGAAGGAACAGTGACAACACGCATGAAAATGACATCCCTGAAAAGGAAAGACGGCACAAACAGAAACTTAAGGTAAGAGAAATATTTATTTAAATTTGCACAATAACGAGCTTATACTGAACAAATTCAATCAAGAAATAATAGTAAGTGCAGTAAAACAAGGAAATATTGATGATTTTTCCCATCAGAAAACATTAAGAAGCCATGCCTGTGCATCACGGTTTTTCTTTTTTGGGTTTTTTTGTTGGGTTTTTTTGTTTGTTTTTACAATAACTTCTATCTTTTTTTTTTTCAGCGCACATACTGTACATATCACATCTTAGCTGCTAGGTTCTTTATTCCTGAAGGCTTCATTCTTTTACTCAAACATCTGCTAAATTCTGCAGTGAGCAATCAAATACATTTGTGCAGATCCAAATACGATTACGTAGAAATCTCTGCACCTGGTCAAGTGTTGGACTCTCAAAGCTTCGGAAGACCCTGTAAGAGCTCCTAGTTGATTTTGGATCTTGACATCGTTATGTATAGCATACAATGTGCCACTTTACACTAACCTAAATATTCTGCATAATGATGTCAGACAAATAGAAGATTTGGGCCTAACCTCATACAAAGGTTTACACATCTGAGCTTGTCTTTTTTGTTTGTTTTACAATAACTTCTATCTTTTTTTTTTTCAGCGCACATACTGTACATATCACATCTTAGCTGCTAGGTTCTTTATTCCTGAAGGCTTCATTCTTTTACTCAAACATCTGCTAAATTCTGCAGTGAGCAATCAAATACATTTGTGCAGATCCAAATACGATTACGTAGAAATCTCTGCACCTGGTCAAGTGTTGGACTCTCAAAGCTTCGGAAGACCCTGTAAGAGCTCCTAGTTGATTTTGGATCTTGACATCGTTATGTATAGCATACAATGTGCCACTTTACACTAACCTAAATATTCTGCATAATGATGTCAGACAAATAGAAGATTTGGGCCTAACCTCATACAAAGGTTTACACATCTGAGCTTGTCTTGAGTCCCATAAATTTCACTCTGATTCAGGTAACTGAGTTCATCATGTATCTGCACTTTAGATGGACAAAAACAATCTAATTTTAGTTTTAATTTTGTACAATTTTTGGTCTAAAGGTCTTTTTTGTGAAGGAAAATTCTTTAACCAGAAACTGCTTGTGAGAGATGGTTGTTGGTGTCACAGTTCCTGAAGGCACTGTGGGTCCACTGAGCAACAGATGTGGCCATTCTAAAGGAAGGAAAAACAGAAAGAATTGAAACAATTAGCATTTTGTACAAACCAAGTCAATTTAACAAGCTCAGCCATTTGCAAACACCCATCAGATCTGAACGTACAGATTTGTAAAATACAAGACAACTACAGGTTTTGATCGGATTCATGACATTGTCGTCATGTCCTTCCTTTGCCCAAAGGAACGGGCTATTATGATTCCTCTAATTGCTTGGTTTGCTGTGGTCTGTATCCCAGAGCTACAACAGTCAAACTGAAAGAAGCTGGGATCAGCAGAAGAAATGCTCCCGACATAAAGGTATCGGGCATCTGCTCAAGTACAGAAAGCTGTTGAACAAGACAGGGCACTTGGGAGTTTTATTTAGATCAGGCAGAAGGGACTCTGGGTTTTATTTAGTCCTGAATGCTTCAAGTTAATACATCCTGGTTGTAACACCAGCAAACATTAATCCATAAAGTTTTTCCTGACAGTCCACACATTCTTCTGAGAATATTAGCAATTAAGGGAACAGATTGCCTATGACATCATTAAAGTACTGGAGAAATTGTTTTCTGCATCTCTACTACTTCTTTTCTTAAGTCTGATTCTTACAATGCAAATAAAAAGTGTGTATTATTTTTAAATTACTCCAAGTACAGTCAGTTAACTAAACTGCCAGGACTGATTAAAGACCGAGGTCTGAATCATTCAAACATTTTCTTTCACTCCTTCTGTTACAGGAGGTTAGACAATCCTACTGTCCACCTTCTTTACTTGTGATTTGAAATGGTTTTGTGGTTAAGTCAGCTTTAGCTGATGCCCAGGTTTCTGAATTCTTAAAGGATTTGTGTAAACCTATTTTGCTATAGCTTGGTTAGAAAGCCTTAGACTGGAGCTTTGACCTTCCATGCGATGCTCTGCAGGAAAAGAGTGGGGTGACACAGGACGAATGAGATGGAGAACTACACAAATTGGGCACAGCATTAACCTGATCTGGAGGGAGCGGGCTCCTGCTTCCATGCAGAACTACAATATTAAAATGCTGCCAATATGAGCAGATAGTGTATTTCAAAAAGAAAAGTGCTCTGTAAAGAGATCTGAGTAAGATCCGGTTTGCTGAGGGACAAAGTGGTACATCTTCGCTGTTATGCAGATTCACACCTGAGCCATATTAAATCTATGGGGTTTGGCAGAGTATCAGTTTTAATCTTACATATGTTCACAATACAGCAATGGATTTTATTAGTCTATGTATGTGTTTACACTGAATACAAATTAGTTGACACTTAAGGTTCAGTCTTTGCTTAAGAGAAAAGGGCAGATGGGAGCAGCACACAGGTGGCTATCAGCAGAACTGATACGTTGCTTCTGCATTGCCATTGATTAGCAGTACAACAATGAGAACACATTTCCCATCGCTGAATCTCAAAAGAGCTTTAGAGAAGAATCATGCAAAACTTTGTTTTACAGATGGAGAAACCGAGGCACATAAACCTCAGCAACTTGCCCAAGCAAAAAGGAACTTCTAGCATTGGAGTGGGTGTATGCCACCAGCTACGGAGCCCAACAGTACGGGTTTATGCATGTAGGCCTGTTTCAACATCCCTTGGGCAGCAGCTGGCTTTCTAACCATTAGCCACTCTGTCAGATCACATAATTTTCTTCTAACCACCGACCCGTTCTGACATCAAGACAAATGCCTACGCTTACTTGGCACATACCACTTCTCTCGTAAAAGGACTATGCCTCGACAGCAGCAATTGCTGTTGCACATAGTATTGCATCAGGCAAAGTGGAGGAAGAAGGTGGTGCTTGACAGCTTCTGCTACATGATCAGTTACTCTCCATCCCTCCCAGAAGGAGGTGTTGAATTTAGATTATTTTTTATGAGCATTTTTTCAAAGTAGTTAATTGTACCATGTACTAGAGTTTGGGAAGTATCTTGCTTGGGAAGGACACAGAATAAAGACCAAAATCAACTGTGAATTTCAGTAATAATTAAAGATCTATGGATGAATCCTGCTGTCGCTCTCTCCTTGGCTACTGTGGAAACACTCTTTGTCATTCTTCAGTATTGGATGATGGAAAATACAATTCACCTTACAGGTTTATTTCGAATGGAAAAACCTATTTCAACCTCCTTTTCTTTTGCATCTTTAAAAAGAGATGCCAGAATTCACATAAGATGCCATTAATTTTTCTCTTCAGACAATGAATTCCTTTGACTACAAAAACTATTAAATGTTCTAAACATTATGTTGATTCTACTATTAATTTTAAAGCAAGAAAGCTATGTAACCATGTAACTAGTCCTTTTATTCTCAAAACAATTATTCTCAAAAAGTAATTCAATCAGTTCTGATAACGCTATAGTATCACAGAGAACAAATTTCTTGTGTGACGTCTAGTCTTACATACCTATTTGTTACTGTATACATTTCCAAGATAGCATGGAGCTATATAATAAAAACTGCGATCAAACTTGAATTGAGCTATCCTGGTGGAAAAACCAAGCCCATTAACTTGTCCACAGCACACTGCAGCACGGACTGTTGTCCTGCTTCTGACCTGCTAGCACATTAAACCATCCTTCTAGCACATGCAAGAGTGACGTTAACAAAGTTGAACACTTTACTGTAATCTCCACTGCTTTGAAACAAGTGTAGACACCAACTACCCACCGACCAGACTCAGTCCATTAATATTTATATGCCACAGACAAGCTGGGAAAGAGGCATCTCAGCTTAATTTTTATGCTCTTTACCTTGCACTGGCAGAGGGTGCACTCTGTGCCGTGCTTAATCCAAGAAGATCCAGTGAAGCGAACGACATTGGTTTCATCCAGACAGGTTTTAGTGATGTCATTGCGAATGGTGTCCGCTTGGCAGGGGTCAGTGACACAGCGCGGGCAGCACTCATGCTCGGGGAGGACGCTGAATTCACAATCCACCTCCGGGCACGGCAAGGGCCAGCAGTCAACTTCGCCTTGCTGTTTACAAATATTACGAGAACAAGAGAAGATTATTAGCTCTTATTTTGTTTCATTACCTATTCATCTGACTCAGCATTATGATTCTTAGCTGGTTAATTTTATCCATCTGGTCCTATTCAGAAGTCAGTGCGGAGAACACTGATACTCATTGCTTGTGGGAGATGCAGCAAGTTGGGTGCTTTTTCCTGCATGCTATTCAGGAAGTGTATTAGATCTAACTTATTTCAATACACTCTGCATCAAGTTGCAGCTGAAAATTCTCCATAAACTTCATGAAATACAGCATATGGATCGGTCCTTGTGAAGTCCTACTTCTGCAAGTGACAGAAGCCATAACATGATTGCACTGCAGAAGTGCTTCGAAATCCCCTGTTTCCCCTAGTTCTTACTTCTATTCAGACTGTTGGTTTGCCATAGAAAGCCCTCAAATGTTCAGGTCCGGATGGGCTAGAGTTTATCTTTGCCACCATTACAAACACATTGGCTGGACTAAGGGTGTCAAGCTACCAGCAGCCCAATGCAGCTGGGAACACCAGTGCATTTTCAGTGAGAGGACCTCCACCCACTTACCATCCATTTTGGATGTTGCGATCAGAGTACCTGAACTTCCAAACTTAATCACACTTTCTGCATGATGGGTTCAGTACGGTCAGGGTATGAAAAGGTCAAAGCAAAGATGTATGTTGGGCCAGAATATTCTTAGGGGAAGTTACTGTATGTCTGTACGCAAATCTAAAGATGTCTAATTATTCACGTCAGTTACTAGAAGTTGGGGTCAGCTTTCCTTCAACTCTGGACAAGGGCCAAAGTTTCAGATCTATTGGTCAAAGAAAAGACTTCACAGAAGTCATTAAGGCATATTTCTTTTGTAGCAGGTCCATCTCTGACCTCCAACTTAGCTCATTTGAAACATAGATTAAGTAGTCTGGATTTAAGGGGGCAAAGAGAATAGCATGTGGCCCTAGGAAAGAAGTTTATTCACAAAAACTGTATCTAAGGCTTTGATAATGATGAGTTCAATATCTCCAGAGCAAAAGCTGAAAAAAATTCCCAGGGATTTGCCATAGCTCCAAATTTACTCCTCTTGTTGCAGAAAGCATTGTGAACTTACTCTTCCACAAAATTTTCACCTGGGTCAATTCTCCTTTTTTTGAATCACATGATGGTAAGAATGAAAGCAATCTTAAAACCAGTCACTGATCTTGATATTTCAATTTATTTTTTGTAGTGATGGACAGTACAAGGAGTAGACAATATGTTGTCACCCAAAAAACATCCCTGACAACTGAAACAAAAGCTTTAGTTACAGAAGCAGCATCTTGAAAAAAAAGAAACATCTATTGAGATCCCAAACTGTAGGTTGTTTTGTTTTGTTTTTAAGACATTTAATGAAGCACCTGGGAATCTGTTTCATTGGATTTTAGCAGCGGTAACACTGAAAGCACAATGTCTACAGAAATTGGTTTCTGGCTGTTATTCATGATACCCTGACAAGGGAAAGCTGCTAGATGGACTAGGGTTTACACTTGGACATAATCTGTGATAAAAGCTAGTTGGTTTTATCTTGGGATTTTTTCTGTCACAGAAACTTCCCGAGCGGCATTATGCAGAATCGTTTTTGCTCAGACTCTGAAATACATGCCTAGGAAAAAGATAACAAGCTTTAAAAGATTTTTTTTCAAAACTCATTTCACTATTTTGAAAAATGCATCAAGTCTTATCATTTTTTCCGTTACTCAGAATGTCTGAATGAATAAACAAATTTTAGTCTACTGGCATCTTTGAAATTATTAACCATGATAATAAATACATATTTAGAATTTCCTTATACAGCTACATTGGTCTTTGAATGAGTGAACACAAGTGTTGCTTTGTAGGTGCCATATCCAAATGACCTCCATTCTTTGCTAACACAATCTTCATGATTAAATAATTTCTATTATGTCTATTGTGTCAAAATGCATTTTTGACTGGAACTTGACAACACTGACAAATATCCATGAAAACCAGATTTCGATTATACACATACTCCAGAGGAAACTAAATGGATGCTAATGCATGAAAATTAACTATTCACCAATCAGAATATCTCATATCCTCTTTCCCTCCTGTCTCTGCTGCTGTAATCAGGAGCCTTACCAAACAGCGACACTGCTGACAGTTCTGTATCCAGGAGTCACCACTGTTGTAGGAAAGCTCCCCGCTCTGATGTAAACATTGACTGCTGAGCCTTGGGTCACATTCAGGACAGCAAAATAGGTCAACAGTGGGATTTTCACAGTCGCAGACCATTCGCCGGCACATCACATATCCACTCTGTTGTTGGAAAACAGGCATAGAGCGATGGCAGAAATGTGACAACTCCAGCAGTACTTGTACCAAAATTTGATTTTTTGGCATGATTCTAAGCCACTAGCAGCTCACAAGTTTTTCCACTATACGACATCTTCGTCAAAATACAATTCAAACAGAGGCAGAAACCACAATACACACTCAGTAACTACCAAAAAGTTCCCCTGTTGTCTTATATATATCCTTCATACAACCAACCTTCAGACAGCTCTCACCTAAGCTGATGAAACCCAAGGGTGTCTTTCCCAAGGGTCAAATTTTAATAGATTGCACTAAGTTTATTCTCATTCTCATTCTCATATGGACGATAGATAGTCGAGTCTTGCTTTAAAGTTCCAGATCAGTCCCTCTCTTCTGTAATTATTCACATAAGGAAGATGATAGGTAGTCTGAAATTAAATTCATGCCCATGAATCTTGAGCTGCTGAAATGCTCAGGACTTTGTCAGCAGTGTATTGGGCCTTCATTCTCCATCAGCATTTAGCTTGGGATCAAGGTTCCCACAGCAAACATTTGAGAAAGCTAAGCTGAATTACTCTGCAGATACAGAACCTACTGCTATTTATAGCCATCTGCTAGAGATACTGGTGTCAGTCACCAACGCCAATATGTGTCTAGACAGACAGTTTCTTTGCATGAAAATGCCGTTACTCCCACCCAGAAAACACAGGTGGCATCTCTGCTAAGAAAATAGTACTATCATCCTTCTCCCAGTATCATATAATAAACCTCCCATGGAAGTTCTGCTCGTGCAGATTGGAGAGAGAAGCTCTCCCTAAAACCATATATAATATGTAATTCCATTTTTCTGTAGCACCACACGCACACCTGAGAAGGCAGCTAAAACAGGAATTTCACTTGAATCACGACACTCTTCCCTTCATCCCTACCACCATCTTGCAGAATCAGCTAGTTCTATTTCTACTGACCTGGCACGAGCAGACAGAGCATCTGTCATTCTCCAGCACCCAAATCTGACCATTGTGCTTGATTTTGTCTTCGTGGATACAGTCTCCTGTGCAGTTCTTGCCATGGGGACATCGACAGTCATACCCACCATCCAGGTTAAAGCAAACAGTGTCATTGGCACAGCTATGCCTTCCAGTTCCACATTCATCAATGTCTGCAAAAACATGCCATGTAATGCTTTTAGACCACATTCAATTAACAAAAATGTTCTTGCGGCAGTCAATATAAATGATTCTTGGCCATTAAAGCCTTCAGCTGAAAATTAATTTCCACTTCACCAGAACAGGGAGAAATAACTTACAAGTTCACAAAAAATATTTTTCATGTCATATCAACTTTTAAAACATGATATTTTGAGTTTTCCTACACGTCTTTCTAAGTGAATGCTATTGAGTAAGGTAGTTAGAATGAAGAAATCACAGGAAACATACGAACAAAAATAATTCTTAGCTCCCTAAAGAGCATTAGTTTGTGGCAACCGTTCATAAGATATGTGCAGTTAAACAAGAAATGCTGCAGAATCTTGTTTTCAAAACCTTTTGCTGGCTCTGTCTAGCACATTTGAGTTCACTTGCTGAGCAGTTAATGTGAAAGGTGACATCTGACCTGCAAGCTCATTTAAGCAAGCACACCACGCTTTAAGTTGCATCATTTATTAGGGTGTGCAAACTAGAATATTTTAATTATTCAAGTTGCAGTGACATCTACAGCCCTTCTGTCTAGCATAGAAAATAAAGAAAAATAATTAATGTCTTCAGTGAATAAAGGTAAATTACTTCAAAACAATCATCTCTCAAAGAATTCAAGAGTACCTTTAAAGGCCTACTTCATCAAGGTACACACAATTATTTTGCAACAGCAAACCAGCAGCATACACTGCCTTCTACTTGAATAGTCTTTATTTAGCTTTTTCAGCTGTCCATATGGAGGAAAGTTATCTGGGAAAAAAGCTTTGAAAGGGCATGAAGTAAACAGCTATATGCAATAAAACGTGGAAAACACTAAAAGAGTTCAATTCTACATACAATTTCACAACAGTTTGGCCCAAGCTTTTAATTAGAGTTCATTAAAAAGTAGCATTGTGATATTTAACTGTCCAACAGATCAGTACAAGACAAAATAAGCAGTATGGTCATGAATGTATCTTTCACCATCAGCATAAAAACTTAATAAAACCCTCAGCTTTGGGTTCAACAATGGAAATGAAACCTCCAATTCACCTCAAGCACATTCCATTTAAAGCAAAATAACTCAATTATCATTTCAATTCCAAGTGTGGCTGCAGTAAAAAAAAAAGTAAACAAGTTGCTAACATGAATATGAATTGGGATGAAAAACAGCAGGGAAATTATTAGAATTCCATTGTATAAATAAGCAGCATTGTGGGTTTCCTTCAAATATTGTGTGCAATAACAGCGGCACCATCTCAAAAAAAAGTATTGCAAAATTACTAGGGCTTCTGGGAAGGATGAGGAAAATGTCATTTGAGAAGAACTGAAAAGAAATGGATTGTTCATCTCTAAAAGAACATCAGCCAGACAGGATATAACCAAAAAAATAATGAATACTCCAGAGAAGACATGTTGAGAGCTTTTGTCCTCCACATTGCCTAACACACAAGACAGGGGACAGTGAAGGAAACTGAAAGACAAGAAATTTAAGTCTGATAAAAGGAAGTAATTTTTCATATAGTGCATAAACAAACCATGACACTCACTGCCACAGAGTGGTAAGAGGGAAAAAAAACAGACTAGCCAAAAGTGTATAAGGTTAGCAAGAATATTCATAGAATCATAAAATGCTTTGGGTTGGAAGGGACCTTAAGAGATCATCTAGTTCCAACCCCCCTGCCATGGGCAGGGGTATCTTCCACTAGATCAGGCTGCTCAAATTCCATTTGCAATGCTAGCAGATTTTGGAAGAGAGATTACATTTCATGCATTAGGTCTACGGTGCCCTTATTTATGTATCAGATAATCCAGAACAAGCAAATCATCTCAGATAGATCTCCACACCTTCTACCTCGCTATCTTCTGAAGCATCTGGAGTCGGCCAGTGTTGCAATAGGGCAGAAGACAATTGGGATCATGACCCTAATTCAGTGTGACTGTTCGCATGGCCCTGAGCAGCTGAAACGTCACAGGCACATCAGACAGGGAAACCCACCCGAACAATAAGGATACATAATTCACGGAACAGATGGCCCTGTGGAGGCTGTGCAATCTCCAGCCTTGAAGCTTTTTAGACAAGTAGCTAACAGGAATGGTTTGAGTGATGCTGGTATGGGCAGAGCAGGGGGATGGAAGAGCTGCTCTCTCCTTCCTCTATATTCTCTTAAATCCATACTGAAAGTAATACAATCTGGCAATTTAAAATTAAGATCTCCATATACTCAGTCTAACTGGTTTTAAGTTATGCAATAAAGAGAACAAACACAAATCCTATTTAAATATAATGATTAACAGCAGGATTCTCTTTATCATTGAAGTAATTTTTAATAAATTACTTTCTGACACTTGTGTTCCTTTGTTTAAAACAAAACTTTCACGTAGCTAGTGTCATAAATGAGTAATATCACTTCTCAACAACCTGGCCACTTAACTGAAAGCAGCCATACTTAATGAGACACTTGGACGAAGTTCAGCTGTCATATAAATAAGAACAGTTTCTTTTAAACAACAAATGGTGACCCTGTAAACACTAAGTCTGCATTTGGCACTTGTGTACAAATGTATTTCACCATTTTCCCATGAGGAAAAGGCTTCTGGGGTTTGTTTTTCAACACAGTAACAGTCAGTGCACTGCTACTGAAAATAATTGAGGTTTCATCATTGACTCTGGTATTGAGCAGAGCTTATCCAACATTGAGAACTTATGAAAAATCCCAACCTTGGTTTTTTCAGTTGTTTGATTCATGAAAATAAATATTCTGGATAGGGCAATTTAAATATTCCCGGTCAAAGCAGGAGCTATTTAGGTTTTGATTCTAACCTAATCAGAAACAGCAGTTTGTTTATAACGCAGCAAGAGAAACACAAACTTTGCATGCATGAAATTCTCATCTGCATTATTCATCCACATCAAACTTCAGGCATTATCTACAAATAACTTGCACACCAATCATCCATACCAAGCAAAACTTTGTTCAGCTTTTTTACTTTGGATTTATAATGGATGGCGAATTATGTTACTGACTGTTTACAGCCATAACCAGCTCTCCAGTTTCCATAACCATATGGACAGGGTACACTGGCCCCTGCATCTTTTGTGCCTGAAAGAGGGAGAGGGGAGGATTACAGGTTGCATATTTCCAGTATATCCAGCCACAGAGGCATGTTATTCTCTCTCCCATATTGGTTTAAAAAACAAAACCAAACCCAATAAATAATTCACTTCAGGCTATTTACAACACACTGCTTAGAAATCAAGCAGCTTGAATGTTATGACATTAGAACATTAAGTCTCAAAAGACTTGAAGGTCTGCCTCAGAAAAAAACAGAAACAAAGCGTAACTAGTCATCTAGTGCCAAATTGAGGACCAGTTCTTATTTATCTACTCTACGCTAAAAATTGCAGGAGCTTTGATCTGGCACACTTTTAAGGGTTTCCCTTTTCTTACCATCATCCCTGGGTACAACTTAATGTTGCAATGACAAAGGAATACCATGGATGAAGAAGTAGTGGTACATGTTAAAGAAAGCTAGGAGTTAATTGTATCACAAGTAATTTCATGCCTACACAGGAAAAATATTGGACTAAAGCTATACGAAATGGTGACAGTACCTGGAATGACTAAACTCCATTTGTAATATTTGACAGACTGCAAGGACGGAAAACTCCAGAAATACAGGAATTTCAATTGCCCCACCAGGTTGTGACCCAAGGCTGTATTTAACAGATTTACTGACTGTTTCTTGGAACCGACACCCAAAGAATCCCAAAGGGACAAAGCACCATTTGACTTGGCCCTGAGCAGTGTGCAGGCTCTGATTCAAAATGTCTCTACTGAACAACTACTCGGTATTGGTTACCAACAGTGACCACAATGTTCGCGAGTTCAACATCCTTAAAGGAATTTAAAAGGCTGCAAAAATCTCTGTGGTAGTGCTTTTATTTTCAAATCAAATGATGAAGTTTTAAAGATGAATTTAAAGATGAATTAAAACTAGTGGCCAAAAGGATAAAATGTTTTTGGATAGAAAGAAGATTGTTTAAAGATACTATATTATAGATTCAGATTAAACGTATACTATATTAATGAAAAAGACTTCAAAGGGGGGATACATTTCATATAATGTACTATTTTTATTTGAAAACTTCATGAGCTCCTTTGCATAATACATGCTGTCAAAGGAACTATGTGCCATGGAATAAAAGAGGTCATTGACTCACAGATTAATAGCAGGTTAATTAGTAAGTAATAAAAGGCAGGAATAAATGGTCAGGCTGTCACAATGAAGAGTTGTCCCAAGGAAGTTCCCCAAGAATCTGTATGAGAACGTGTGCTGCCCAATATACTCAGTCATCTGGAGGAATGGATCAACAGTGAGATGAAAAAGGCTATTGATAAGAAAGTATTAAAACCAAAAAATTGACAGTGACATATAGAAGTATTTCATGATATTGACTTAGTAAACAATAGTATGTCAGATGAGATTCAATTGTAAGCTGCATGGGGAAATACTCATTCGAAAATCAAATCAATCTTTTAGATCTATTCTGGGAAGAGATCTTGGAGCTACTGTGGATAGCTCTAAATAATGACAGCTTAATAATATTTTGGGAAAAAAACCACAAATACAATATTGATAACGACAGATGAGAAAACTTGCAATAGAATCACAAGGAACATGAACAAGGCACAACTAGAAAATAACCCGTGTACACCTTGCTAGGTAGTGACAAAGGGCTCAGAGATGCGTTCTGATGTAGCTGATGGCAAGTCACGACTTTCCCTCCTCTGACGAGCTATGCAGACTTAGGTGCAGGACGTTCACATAAAGCCAAAGAAGATCTCCCCTGGACATGGTTTCCTAACAGAATCGTTCTGATATCAGTTAGAGTGTCATCTACGTAAAGAAAAGATGAACATCTCCATCATTGAGAAATATGCTGTTGGAAGAGATGGGTTGGGAGGGTGGACAGTCCCTTTGC